TTTTTGGCGCGCCCGGGGGGGGGGGGGCTTCCCTTGTGGCTGCCGCTGCCGGGGACCCCGATCTGCCGGTGTTCCCCTATGCCCAGATCTTCTATGACATGACAGACCGCTTTCTGCCCCTGGTGAGTCGTCCTCTGTTATCCTGTCCCCCTGGTCAGCCTGTTTTGTCAGGTATTAAGTCACGCGACTGCAACCACATGGCCTTGGGGCACTTGTGTGCTGGAGGACTTCCATCCATCATTTCATCTGGGGGTTCACTGAGCACCTATTCTCTGCCAAGGACTGTGCTAGCCACCAGCAATTCTGCCTTTATCAGAGAGATGTATACCCTAGCTGCATGGCACTCATAGGCCCAGTGGGGTCCGGAATTTGTCCCGTCTGGGGGTAGGACAGCGGCCGGCCCCGGGAGGGAGGAAAGACACACAGACCCGTGCTGTCTCCTTTCCCAGGAGCACCTGGAGCACAGCCTGGGGGAGAGTGCGGCCCAGGGCGCAGCAGGAGTGGTGCTCTGGGTGAGCTGGAAGAACACAAGAACCAAGGTGAGCTCAGGCCTGGGGGCGGGCAGTGGGGAGCCATCAGGCTGGCGGGCCACCCTTTCCACCCCCAAAGTCCTAGTCAGATGAGGGTCTCAATGCCCCAAGGGGGCCTATGCATGGCCATAGTGTCCTTGACACTCCTCCTCCCCCTCAGGAGTCATGCCAGGCCATCAAGGAGTATGTGGACACCGTGCTGGGACCTTTCATCCTGAATGTGACCAGCGGGGCTCTTCTCTGCAGTCAAGCCTTGTGCTCTGGCCATGGCCGCTGTGCCCGCCGCCCCAGCCACCCCGAGGCCCTCCTCACCCTCAACCCTGCCAGTTTCTCCATTGGGCTCACACCTGGGGGCGGGCACCTGACCTTGCAGGGCGCCCTCTCACTTGAGGATCGGGCCCGGATGGCTATGGAGTTCAAATGCCAGTGCTACCGTGGCTGGCAGGGAGCATGGTGTGAGCAGCAGGGCCTGTGATGCCTGGCCACACACTGGGATGCACATGGGAGCACCTCACGTACCCCGGGCCGGGCCAGGGCCTCCGCACATCCAGTCACAGTCACGCAAGTCATGGTTACAGGAGTACACTCAGCCACCGTCCAGGGCTGGCACCTGCACACATGCATGCTTATAGACCGCGAGAGTCATGTAAGGAGTAGGAACCACGGCAGGCACCGTCCACTCCATGTCCACATGTGTCCCCTTGGGAGCGTCGTAAACAATGCCTTCAGAATCAAACTGCAGTGACCACAAAAGCTGACATTCACTGAGCGCCTACTCTGTGCCCTGCCCTGTAATAACCTTTTTCCTTTTTAAGGTTTTTGCAACAGTGCGTATGTGCTCTCCAGAAAGGGACAGAAGGAACAGAGAGAAGGAAAGTGAGAAATCCCCCCCCATGGGGGAATTGGCCACACCACCGTCCCCTCTCCTCCATTCTTCTTTTGGGATTTTGACCACAAATGCACATGATCTTGGCGTGATTTTCATGCCGCCAAGTCCAAAACTCCAACCACGCTCAACCAAGTGGGAATCCAGCTCTTTTACTACCGCCACCTGCTGGCCCATGTGCCAACCATTCTAAGCAGGCTAATTCATTCAGTCCTCGCAAGGAGGCTATGAAGAAGCTGAGGCACCCAGAAGTCGAGTGAGTAAGCGTTTAGCCCAAAGTTGCACATAGAGAAAGTCTAGCTCCAGAGGTGGAGGGAGCCCTTATGCTTCTACTGGGTGTTGATGGCAATCAGCCCTCCACGACCCCTGAATCCGCAGAGAGGCGCCAGCCTCGCACACCCGACGAATAAAACAATCGTGATTTATTTAATTTATTGAGCGCCTAAAGTGTGCAGACTCTGGGTTCCCGGGAGAGCACAGAAAAGGTTCGTCTCTGTCACCCCGCTCTGATTTTGCCCGAAAGCGCTGCTTCCTAGGGTGGGTCCAAATTTCAGGAGGCTGTCCCACCTGATCTGACCCTTCGCCTGCTGGATTGGGCAAGAGAACCGCGGGTGTCGAGACAAAAAGGAGTAGGGGCGGGACTTGCCCGAGCCTGGGGCGGGGCGAGATGGAGGCGGAGCCAGTTGGAGGCGAGGCCTGCGTGACGAAGCTGTGACGCGCTGGTTCAAGGCGGAGCCTCAGTTGCGCCGGATGGAGGCGTGGCCTAAGCGATGACGTAAGGACTCGGAGGCGGGACCCTAGGGGCTGGCAGGGAGGAGGCGGGGCCAATGAGCGGTGGGGCTCTGCTCCGGCAGGAGGAGCAGAGGCGGAGCCAGGGAAGAGACTGAGTCTGCGCCGGGTTAGTGTTGGGACATCGCAGAACCAAGGGCGGGGGC